TGGAGCCAAATGTGTCTCGGGTGCAGTAGAGCAATGGCTTCAGGTCCCTGGTGGCTTGCTGACCTGGAGACCTCTGGGCATAAACCCAGCACAGTGTTAGTGGAAAATTGATGCAGCCACCAGAAGGACGGTAGGAAACATGTGAGCATGGATGGAGCCAGCTGCTCTATGTGGGAAGGCAAGTGGTTGTGCCAAAGGATGTGGAAGAGAGAGGCAAGCCAGAGCTGGGGTGCACTGCATGCTCTGATGGTGAGGAAGATCAGCGGCTAGAGGTGGATGTGGGTGAATGGCACAGGCCATGTGTTTGAGGAGTGACCTATGTGCTGTAGATGTTAGCTCTTGTGAAAAGAGTGTTGGAAACCTTCTGGCCCAGGGAAGCTGACTATGTGGTGTGTTTCTTTACACAAGCCTGCTGTCATCTGGGGTTTTGCCTTCACAGGAAAGGCACAAATCCAGTAAAGGGTGCCTTTAACTCAATCTGATGTGCAGTTCTTCCCTTTGCTTTCGAGCTGCCACAGAGAAATGTCCAGGCTGCCCAAGCAGAGAAAATCTCTTCTGTACATCCCTTCACATTCTCAGCAGGCGATTCAGGTTGCAAAGGTCATTTCAAACATTATGTGTGCTGAGGTCTGGGCTGGCTGTGGCTGTGGGGACTGCAATGTATTGTGGAGCGTGGGGACTTGCTGGTGCCTGTGGGAAGGCCACAGCTCTTTAGTCTCTTCTTGAAATCAGCTGGCCTCTGCTCAAGGAGTAATCTAAACTTGTACACTGACAGCCCTCGCTTGTTCTGCTACTGCAGCTTTGAGACTCAAAGCAAAAAGCAAGGCAGCATCCTCTTTGTAAAGTGAGCTGAAATGGTCCATTTTTTCCTTAGAAGTTTCTGGGTGACCAGTTGTGTTAACATAGCTGCAGCTGTGTCTCTGCAGGGATGTTGTTTTCTAAGCAGAAACCAAGAACAATTCCCTCAAAGATTCACTGAGGATAAAAGTGATTATGCTGGAAGGAGCAGCTTTCTTGCTTTGGCTCTGACCTCTTCCTTCTAAACTGGAGAATCTCAGGACCACAGCTTCATTAACGTGGGAAGGGGTCCTTTGAGGGTAACCTAGTCCAAACCTCAAGGAGCCTCCAAACAAAGCAGAAGGATGATGAAGCATCATTGTGTTCCTGAGGAGATAAACTTTGGAAAGCAGTCTTGGCTCACTGGGACTCAGTGGGTCTCCAGCTCTGTGAGTGGGGCTGGAATTTCAAACCAGCTCTGGATCCCTTCCAGACTCATGGATGCTCAACAAAGAAGTGGTTCTGGTTTGAGCGTGACCCTTCTCTTTGCCATGGATAACACTGCTGATTCCCTGCTGTATCCCTGATAGGAGGTGTATCCCTTCATGCAGAAGGGCAACATGTCTGGCGTTCCTTTTCTGGATGTCTGAGCATGTGCTCCTGGGGGCCAAAACCCTCCCCCAGACCTCCCAGGTTTGCATGAGTTTGCAACTGTGCTTCCTGCTACTGGTCGGTCTGGGTGTACGAGGAGAACAAATGTTGGATGCTATTTAGTGCTTCAGTCAGGTCATGCCGCAGCCAGGAAGTGTGATGGTTGGTAATGGAGAACACATGGGCTCGCTTGCAAACACCCGTGCTTGCTCTATCCTGGCTTCCCTGCCTGTAAAATGGAAATAATAACTTGGAGCTTAAACTATGAGTTGTGGGGCTGCCTTTACTAAGAAAGATTTGTTGGTGCCTGCATGGAGGCCACGGCCTTTGGGATTTTCTCATGAAATCCATTTCTCACAGACGTTCATCTGGAGGGGAAGGCAGGAATGCATTTTATACAGAGGATGTTTAGGCACTAGAGAAGCTGTAGCTGCCCCGTCTCCAGATGCATTCAAGGCCAGGTTGGATGGGGCCCTGGGCAGCCTAAGTTGGTGGGAGGCAGCCCTGCCCATGGCAGGTGGTTGGGGCTGGGTAGGCTTTGAGGTCCCTTCCAAACCAATCTATTCTATGGCAATTGTGATTTTAATGGCAGGAGCACAGCTGATTAGCCTCCTGCCCTTGCACCCCATGGGAAGGGAGTAAGGGATGGCCTTGATGGTCAGGCAGGGGGAATGGGCAATTGTTGCCCATCCCTCAGGTGGTTCCACTGCCTCACCATGGAAGTGTGGTGGCCATCTACGTGATGGCCACCTTAAAGCTCCTGTGTTGACTGTACCTGATGAAAGATCAGTCCCATCTGGGGGTGTTGGTTTCACTATCCCTGTAGCTGTTTGTGTGTTTCTCATCACTGGTGCAGAAAGCCAGCACCTCCCACACAGCTGTCCTTGCACGCGTGTGCACTATATCAAGCATCAGCTGACTCCAAGAGCAGCAGCAGTGAAAGAAGTTCCCACAGATATGAACATTTCCCAAGATAGCAACATAAAGTAAGAATCAGGGGGCTATTTCATTATTTTTTCCTCCTCCATCTTCTCTCTCCCTCTCTCTTTTTATTTTTCCATAACCAAGGCTCTTTATTCTGCCTTCAGGGAAACCATTACTTATCTTTATCTTAGAGCTGTGTAGTTTTTGTTTTGTTTTTGTTTTAAATCGTTCTCCTTTTCTATGCTGATCTTTTTAGGGCAGAGGGAATGAGGAGTCTTTAGAGAAGATATGTAAGGCTCCCTCCTCTTTGTCCTTTTCCTCCAGGGCACTTTGTCCTCACTCCTCCATCCCTCATCTTGGCGTTGGTTTCTGGGGGAAAGGAGGCCAGCTCTGGCCTGTCTCCTAACTGACAAACTCTGCTCCTCCCTGCATTGTTTCATATTTTCTTGGCCTCTTTTCTCCTGCTGAGCCCAATGCAGGAATGAGCTCATGGTATTGCAAGAGTGGAAGACTGTGCTCCGTAGCACAGGGGATCCTCCTCAGTCCCCCTAGGGTTGTGTGATGTCCTTCTGGCACGCAAGGCTGCCTGAGAAGCAGGATGACTGGGCTGCATAGCCAAACAGTGAAGTTTGATCATGGTGAGACCCACACCAGTGTTTCAGTGTTCTGAAACCTTGTAAGACTGAGACGCTTCTAGAAATGCTGAACAAAGAATTTCTTGAAAAGAAGTTGTCCCTAAAACACTCCCATCATGCAGACAGGGAAACCAAAAAGCTGAGAGATCTCTCAGGGCTGCAGTACCAAAAAATGGTGTCCCTTGCAGCCCATCATGGGGCTAGGATGTTGCTGGCATGATGGCTAGTCCAGGGCCTCATCATGACAGCTCTGAGCAATAGCTGGTGGAAGCCTGTCAAAGCAGAGCAAAGCAACTCACCAGTAAATGAAGTGGTGTTTTTCCAGGGAAATTTTTGCTCAGCAGAAACTACGTGGCTGCATCTGATATGGGCTCCATAAGTGGCCATTAGCTTGTTGTGGATGAGAGCAACATAATTGAATTTAAGGAAAAGGTTTAAGAGGAAATAAACTTTTCTTTTTGCATAGAGTTTCCTTCATGCTTTTTTTCCGACTGATAGCTGCAAATGTCAATAGGTTGCAGTAATATGTGGAGATAAAAATAAGAACAAAGAGAGAGAAAATGAGAAGGAGAACTAGGGATGTCCATCTTCACTAGAGCTGGGCGTATGTAGCAATAAACGTTCACAAAATGTGCTTGTGAATAAAACATGCAGACTGTCTTCCTCAGTGATTGTGACCCATTTTATTTCTAAACTCTCAGTTGAAAAAATGTTCTGGCCACAAAGATGCTCACGAAAGCAAGCTATCTCTCGGAGCAATGTGAATAAATATAATTGAACGCTCACGCTGGCATTATTCTCAAAGCCATTTTGAAGAGCCCTATCAGTTGCACGATAGGCTCGTGGAACAATTTGGAGTGATTGCAAATAACTTGCAGGTAGGAGAGGACATTTTTCCTGCGTGTGAAGCATGGCCTCTGGCTGGAAGTGATGCAGTGTGACTTACATGACCACTGGCATACAGTGAATGGGGGCTGAGGGATGGGATGTTTTCAGTGATGGGGTCCCAGTGAAGCTGTACGCTAAAATGCCTCCACACCAGCTACTTGTCAGAGCCATCCGAGGAATAGTCCTGGTTGCAAGTAGACAGGCTGCTCACTGGTAACTCGAGGACAGATAACAGGTCTTTGACTGTCCAAGGATTTATCTGCAGTGAGCAACCTGATCAGCTTTAATCATGTGTGACAGCAGTATGAAGTGCAAAGTTTTGGCCAATCGCTTTGAATTAATCGTCCTGTTCCTCCATCAGTGTCACTGAACACAGGGTCAGGACAAGCTGGTGACTTTTCTTCACTCGGACCACAGCCACGATGCACAACCTGCCTGTGCATATCCCCGTGATCCCCTCCCTCAGCCCGCCCCGTTTATGCTGCCAAGGGCAGGGGTAGAAGCGAGATGTTGGTTCATGCAGTGCCTGTTCACCTCTGGCTATTGCAAAGTCATCCCTAGTGGATCTTTTACATTTTTTTCCTCACGTAGCAGTGAGTTGCATTTCATCCGCCCCAAATGCCAGGGCTTCCCCTGTGTCTCCTGGATGGCTATTGCACATTAAGCTATAATTGCACAGTCAGGGTGTTTTCCTTTCTGATGCTCTGCCAAAATGTTCCCTTTAAAAAAATTATATCTATCGAGGTTAGCTTGGGCAGGAAATAATCCAGACAAATGCACACTACCTGATCTTCAGGCCAATTAATCTGAAACAGATACTTGGTGAGTGGGAAATGCTGAATGGGGTCTATAGGGAGCAGATGAAAATTTGGATGCACTGTGAACTTGCAATTCAGATGTTGGCAGTAGGGAGGACAAAAGAGTGCTGTACCAGCATGAGCAAGAGGGAATACTTCAGTATGTAGCATGGAGGCAGGTGCACCTTCACTGACCTGTGCTCCTCAGGCATCTGTAGTGGAAATGCTGAGTCAGAGTTTGAAGCAGTGATTGAGCACCTGGTAGAAAGGCAGGGCCCACCTAGGGGAGCTCAGGTGCATGCAATGCACCACAAAGTGACCACAAAGGGTTGGAGCCAGGATCCACCTCTTCCCAGACCTTCTTTGATTCTATGATCTCATTTAAAGGTTGGTAGAAGAGATAACTTGCTGGAAGTCCCTGCCCACCTAAGGCCTTCCAAGGGTAAGCAGCTTTATTTCTATGGCATTGTCTGCTACATTTGGACTTATCCTCCCTTGCTGCAGTCTAGGATTTTGCCACTCTGCTATTATTACTGTGCTCTTCATCACATTATAACATAACAGACATTTCTGGTGAGCTGTAGGTTGTGGCTGGAGGCAGCAGCTTATAAAGCATTTGGAATAGGATAACCTATGGAAATAACTTATGGGTGGTGTGTTGAAGAGCTGTCCACATTGCTTGGGTTCCTCTGTCCAGGAAAGAAGTTTAGTTTATGCTAAAGAGAATCCTTATGCAAGAGCCAGGTCTTGGTAAAGGCAGAGAGCATCTCTAGGAAATTAAGAACAAATGGCGAAATGAAGAGGGGGAAAAAACTTTTATTTCATTTTCTTGATTCCGTTTATGAGGATTTGAGATTTTTGGCTTAGAAGGGAATGAAGAATTGCTCTGAATACTTCATTTTGAAAATACTAAAGTGAAGCCTTTTGGCTGTCTGAAGGGTTGGTTGGTCACCCTTCTTCATGTTTCTAATTTTTATACAAATGGCTGTGTTGGTTATGCTGAGCCCCTGAGGGCCTCGGTACCATGAATCCACGTTGGCAAAGGCACTACCAGTCCTGTTCAGACTCAGAGTAAGGCAGTCACAAGCAGAAAAAGGGAGCATGTGATGGAGGCATGACGTTTTCCAAGCAGTTCATCCAAGTCTACGATAAGATAAGTAGTAGTCTGATGAACATTCCCCAGTGAGGGGAGAATGTGACTTGGAAATGTTTGATAGTGGCGTCTACTAGCAAAAAGATTTACCATGAAATAATGAATACCACTGCATTACAAATTGATTTGGGGAGGGAGGGTGGGGGGAGGAGTCAATCATTCTCTCAGTGCTGTTTAGTTTGTAGTGGTTCCCTAACTCAGGAAAGATGCGGAGCTGTTGGAGCAGGTCTAGAGGAGGGTGATGAAAATTATCAGAGAGTTGGAGCACCTTTCCTATGAAGAAAGGCTCAGTTGGGTTTGTTCATCCCGGCGAAGGCTTTGGAGAGACCTCATTGCAGCCTTCCAGTGCTTGAAAGGGAAACAGGAGACCATGAGGAGACATAAAAGTCACATTAAACCATGTGACTTTTTATATGGTCTAATAGTGATAGGACAAGGGGTGATGGCTTTAAACTAAAAGGGGAAAAATATAGATTAGATGTATGAAAGAAATTCTTCACTCAGAGGGCAGTGAGGCACTGGCACAGCTGCCCAGAGAAGCTGTGGATGCCCCATCCCTGAAGGCACTCAAGACCGAGTTGGATGGGGCCTGGGCAGCCTGAGCTGGAGAGGAGCAGCCCTGCCCACGCTAAGGGTTAGAACTGAGTGGGCTTTGCGATTCCTTCCAATCCAATGTGGTTCTATGATAGTGGAAATAACACAGTATTTATAAGCCTTCACTGAAGAGCTCTTTTTTTCCTACCCAGAAAAAATAAAGCAATAGGGAACTTTAAACAAAGAAGGTAACTTCAGGAAGTGGTAGCTTAGCATATTTTAGTTCTATTAGCTGTACTGCTTAAAAATGAATAGGATGCAGAAGGAAAATCAGCAAGAGCCATCGTGAATAGCCACTCTCTTTTCAAGACATATTTAAAAAACCTGGAGCACAGTCCCTTTGCAGAACACACATCTGGAGTGATGGGAGCTGTGGTGAGGATCGTGAGCAGCACAAAAGGTAGCATCAGGTGTGTGAGTGATGCGGGGGGGACGACGGGGGACTGTGAGCAGAGCTGGCAGTTGCTGAGAGTAAGCGGAACGAGGGCAGAAATAGTGAGCAGGAAACCTGCCCTTTGTGTCCCTCGTGCACGGAGGAAGGCAGGTTTTGCTGCTGCCCTTGGCTCTTTGTCCTAAGACGGAAAGCACCAGCTGCTCCAGGCAATCTTCCCTCTAGTCCCCTGCTCCTACCTGCTCAAGTTGTCCCTTCTGCAAGCTGTGCTTGACCTTCCAGCCTGGATCTCTCTGGAAAAGGAACAGAAATTAGGTTTGGTCAATTATTAGGAGGAAAGAAGGGATGTTCTTAGCAGCATTTTAGCTGACAGCTTTGGGAATGAGAAGTAGAAAATAGGCGGGGTAACCTCTGCTATGAAGAGCTCTCTCAGCTCATGCCAGCAACAATGACTTTCTTTTGACCACAGCATATTGCTTTAAAGTCATGTACCATGCGTGCTGGGTTCCTTTTTATGTGGCTAAGCTCTCAAAGTGAGCAGCTGAGCAAGTCTGTGTAGTCTGCAGGAGTGGCTGATTTTTCCTGCACAGTGACAAGCCTTTCTGAATGGATGGTGGGCTGTGCAAAGTGCTCGGCAGAGCCATGCTCTGACCCAGCGTGGCTTAGAGTGGCAGGAGATCATGCCCTGCAGCTTCATGGGGCCTGTTAGAAGCGGAGACGTGCAGAGCAAAGTTTTCCTCTTGTTTCCCTTGCGAGGCAAAAATAAAGCATACCTCCCCTGCCTTGTGGACTAGAGGAATAACACACTGAATGGGTGCCTCCTTAGGGAGGTGAGGCAGGAATTCCAGCCCCATGGAGCACTGGTTGTGGCACACTGCTGAGCTGAGGAGGCAGGCCTGGCACTGTGCTCCCTCAGGCCCTGCAAAGCAGCATGCGTGGGCTGTGGCCCTCTGGGAGCTGGGGGTGAAGGGGCTGCTAGGGGGCAAAGCTGGCAGCTTGTGAGCCTGCTGCTGGGGCTCAGTGTTTATTAATGGCTCACAAAAGTTAGGGGAAGCAGTGAAGCTGCAAGGTTTGCAGATGGTGTGAAATTATTTAGGAAAGGGTGCCTGGTGGGACCTAACCATAGCAGGTGAGCAGGCAGTTGGAGCTCACTGTTGACAACCACGGTGCAGAAGGATGCCTCTGTGCCTTGCCAGGCTTGTGACCGGCTGTGTGGTGGCAGGGGGAGGATGGGTGTCACTGGACACAGCTCAGTGGAAACATCTGCTCAGTCTGCAGCAGCTGTCTCAAGAGGAAATAGAATGGCTGGCTGCCTGAAGAGTGGGATAAAAAAGCAAGGCTGACAATGCCACCTCTCTGCTGTGTAAGAAAAGCAGGTGAATTGCAGGCTGGGGCACACTGTGCAAGTAACATGGTTTGAAGAATGAGCAAAAACAGGCAGAGGAAATGATGGATGTAGAGGGGGCAGAGAGCTTTGTCTTGTTTCCACTTGCATAAGGAGGGTTGTGGTGAGATGTTTGAAAAATAAGGATAAGTCAGTTTATAGTATCACAGAAAAACTTGAGCTGGGAGGAACCTCACAGCCCACCCAGCCCCAACCCCCTTCTGGGCTGGGCTGCCCTCTGAGGGAAGAATTTCTTCCGTACATCTAATCTAAATTTTTTCCCTTTTAGTTTAAAGCCATCACCCCTTGTTCTGTCACTACACTCACTGATAAAGTGCCTCTCACTGTCTGTCTTGTAGGCCCCCTGTAAGTATTTATAGACTAATATAAGGCCTCCCTGAAGCCCTATCCTCCTAAATAAGTAAAAATCGAAAGGTATTTTTTTTCCCTGATGGAAAAAAAAAATCCTAGCAAGAGGGTGGGTGCTTTTAAGCAGCCCAGCATCAGCATGGGGAATGAGATGGCTCAAGGCACTGAGATCTTGGGTGCCATGACATGGCCTGACTGGGGGTAGAACTCACGTTAAAGCCAGGAGTTGGTCCAGCTGGTACCAGAGAGCAGCTCCTGAAGTTGCTTTCAGGGCTCCCTGGGTATTTTCCCTGAAGAAGCTGCTAGCAGTCAATAGCCCACCATGCGGGAGCCATCACCACCATGTCTGACTGACGATGACTGCAATGGGAGGCAGAGGGCTGTGCCATCAAAGCAGCTGATAGAAGGAGGCAAAGAAGACTGAGGTTTACACCAAAATGCCTGCTCACCTTTTCTTCTTTCACTTACCCATTGGAGGCTGAGGTTCAGTCATCTCCTGCAGCAGGGTGCTGGCATCTCTGCCCCATACAAAGGCTGGGCCTCACATAAATCATTCAAGCAAGACAAACCTTTGCCTCTGATATGGTGAGGAAATGTGACCTAGTTAAGCCCAGCCGTTTTTGAGTGTGATGAAATGGAAGCGACTTGTGTGTTGCTGAAATCTGACACCAGAAATAGGGCATTAGTTGTGCTCCCAGCACGGCAGCCACCTGGTAGGTTGTCTGCAGACACCCTGCTCGTTCTCATCCCCAGTACCCCTATCCAGTACCCAGGTGGGTGATGGGTACCCCTCTCCCAAGCAGCACCATCCATGCTGTGCCACGCATTGTGTGGCTGCATGAAATCCAATTAAAGGGTGAAATGAATTTTGCAGTTGCTGCAAGGGGATGGGAAATGCCCATGCACAGAGGAGCAGCAAGGAGCCAGCTCTGGCCTCTTTTTAAGCATAGCCCAACTGAAAAGCTGCTGCTGTGGATGCAAGGGAGCTATAAACCCACCGTGCAATAATGTTACTGCTTTGATGGATGCTGTAAAGGCTTTGAATGCTTTTCTTTTTCTTTTTTCTTTTTTTTTTTTTTCTTTTTTCTTTTTCTTCTATTCTCTTTCTCTTCTTCCTTTTTTTTTTTTTTTTCCCCCACTGTGGCCATGTACCTTGCAGCCTCCTTTGTTACAAAACATCAGCTCCGTTTCTAACCTAAATCCTGCCCCCTCCCCTCTCCCTATTTCTTTTAGTGGTTACAATACGTTCATTTGCTGCCCCTTTCCTGGAGGGAAAGAGAAATGCTCCAGCGTTTCAGGAAACAAAGCCTTTCTCCTCTCTTCTTGCCCAGGGAGCGCAGGGCAGGTTTATATCTCTCCAGCATGGGGGTGGCCAGCAAGGAGCTCCAGCTTGGGCTGTAAAGTTCCTGGGGAAGAACTGCCCTTGCAGGGACTGAGTCTCTGAAGGAAAAAATAAATTTTTTGGTGCTGAAAGTCATAGATTTTGTCATTTTTCTCCTTCAGAAAGAGTTTCACTTCTGGCAGTGTTACACTTGGGGCAGTCCATCTGAAGGCAATACTAACATTTGATTCCAAGGGACTGGACGGTTGCACGAATGATGTGGCCTCTATTTGCAGTTTTGAGAATGCTGGCTGATTGGCTGATGTCATAGGTCCCCTCCCAGAAGAAGTCTCTTTATACTCCCAGACCTCTCAGTCCATTCCTTGCTTCCCTTCTCCCAGCAAGCAGTCAGGCCGTGGAGCTTGCTGCTCCCAGGTATGACAGAGGCCAGCAGTGTGGAGGGGCTGAGCAGCATTTAGGTTCAGAGATAAGGTCCCTGAAGACTGTGAATGCTGCAAGTGCCTTGGGTTGCCAGGAGCTGGAAGAGTCCTCAGGAGAAGGTCACATGACAGTCATCCTGGCTTTTCTGCACTTTTTCTTTAAATGTCTTTTCTGAGCCACTGCTAGCAACAGAATACTAGGCAGGCTGCATGCCCACCTGGTAAAGGGCGGTCATTCTCGTGTCCTACAATCTGATGTTTTTAGGATTTTTGCTCACCTCCTCCTTCTGTCTCTCTGGTTGTTTCCCTGCAAGGATGACTCCTCTTTTTCTCTCTGCCTTGTTCTTGCCTTATATGATTTCTTGCAGCATTCAGCCCTTGCTTGGCTTCGGCTGTGGGTGACTCATTCCCTATGCCTTGCCTTGTTCCCACCTCCTAGCTGTCTCTTGGACATCTGCTCTGTGCTGCCTAATTCAAATGTAGTCTGCCTGAAAATGAAGCCCTGCTCTGTCCCTCTTTACAGCAAAAACCATCCTTCCCTGGAGAGCTGGGCCTCTCCAAGGGCACGGCAGTCTTCCCATTGAACAGCATCAACAACTAGGCATTGGTTTGGTCCTCTCCATCTCCATCCTACTCTTGTCTCCAACATAACATGTAGCTGGTCAGTGAGGTTGTAAAACCTAGTGAAAGGCTGAGTTTCTGCTCAGTATCATCTGACCAGACCAAACTTGATGAATGTGTTTTCTTATTTCCCCTCCTCTACTTAAATGAATTCAGGCAACCAATGTTTCCTTCTTGGTGAGAGATTTCCAAGGTTCTGACTCCATGGAAAGTTTGACTGATTTGGGAGTGTGGCCAAGTTCTGAGGACAGCATTTGTTGAGGGTTTGCTCGGTGCCTGAAATATAAAACTGAAATAAACATACGTTCAGTAGCTGTGCTCAAAGTAAGGGCTTTGTGCATGTGCTATCCAAACGTGACTATTCTGTTGCAAGCCGAAGAAAACTGGTCACATTAAATACAAAGATATGCACTTAAACACTCATGCAGATCTACAGTTGAATGACATCTGTACCATGAAGGAACAAAATTCAGGCACGTTTCTGAATAAATGATTTTCACAGCTTCTCAAGCCCCAGAATACTAAGTGCTTTTATAGGTGCTTTTCACCTTGAAGCATCTCACTTTGTATATATGCATATGAAGGAAGTGGAGTGACTCTAGGGTGGGATGTAACAGGCATCCTACATGACCTACAGCACCTTGGGTGATTCCTCCTTTCAGAGTCCCTGGAATGTGTACAGGGCCGTTAGCTCCCTCAGTCTTCCTCTCCATCCTCTTTCTCTTGCATTCCTCTGGATGTTCTCCATGTCCCTCTATGTACCCCTTGCTCACACTCCTGCCCTTGTGCCTGGTGCACTCTCACAGCTCATCTTCCTTGGCAGTCTTTTGTAAAGCTTTTCTCCTGGAGCACTCCCCCTTCTCTCTTCTCCAGGCTCCTCTGTGCTTGAGCTTGTACCTCCCAGTTGAGTTTATGTGCCATGCCTGTTTCAGTTCACAAGCTGCCTGGGACTGCAAAGATATTTTATTTGTAGTGACAAATTGCTGCATGAAGTTACAGTGCTACATGAAAAGAACAATCACCCTAACAGCGTAGCAGCCTGATGGCTGTGATGTGCTGGGGAGAAGAAGGTTAAAGAAGGTTATTGCTGATGTAGTAAAGCCTGAAACCAAAGAAACATACTTAACATTTCCTCATCTTGTTCTTTGTATCTACTTTCTGAGATCATTTGTTGATTCCCAGTCTCCTGTTACAGGCAAAAGAAGAACAAATTTCTGCGTACTTTGAGTGGCCAGAACAGACCAATTTTAAGAGCCATCCAGCAAACTACCACAGGGCTGAGATTTGCAGATCATAGTGATGATATAATTTAAATAATCTCAAACGTGGACTTTTAATGCCATATGCTTAATTTCACTCAGCCTGTACCATCTAATCCCCTGCCATATGTGTTCACTTTATTTTTTGCTTCTGGTCTGGACTTTGAGTCTTCAGATGACTTTAAAACCTCATAGAGCACCTGGCAGGTTGGAGTTCCTGTTCACTGTACACCTCGAGGCTTGCAATTTGCAATTTTCCATCCTTCTCTATGACTTTGTCCAGGCTCCATCTCTAATTAGGTAGCTCCTCAACACAGAGAGTTGTCCATGATGTGCTGATGTAGCACCTGGCACTGCAGGGATGAGGTCTGTACATGCCACTGCAGTAGCAGGTGGATGAAGAGTGATCTCCTTCTACTGTGGGCAGGAGCAGAGCTTGTCACAATGCAGTGGACAGCTTGGGGCCTTTGGCCTGTGTCACAGTCAGAAAGATTAGTGCAGTGGAAAGGCAATGCAAGAGTGAAATAGTAAAAGGAAAAAGAGGAAAAGGATGCTCATCCACTTCTGAAGATCATGAGGATAAATTTCACTAGAGAGGGATCTCCAACCAAACATCCTTCCCCAGTGGCTGTCAGCCCTTAAATGGGGTCTAAGAGAGGTGCAGCCAGGCTCCACCCCTTGAGGTCACACAGCTGAATTGCCTTCACCTGTGCTCTCAGGGCTGACCCAGTCCTTTCCCTCTGTGATCAATCAGTGGTTCAGGCTGTGACTCAACAGTTCCCATACAGCCTGTTTCCCCAAAGATACGATGTATGCCTGAGTGACATGGAATACGCAATAGAAATAGGCTTGGGACTGGGCTCACCAATTTCCCCAATAAAATGGGCCAGAAAGTAGCCTGGAGACAGCATGAGGTCTTTGCTGTTGAGTTCTTAGGGTCAGCAAGTCCATACAAGTCAAATCAGCTAGCTTTGTCAGCTCAAAGAATGCTCTCTGTATGAAAACTTAGATTGTTGAATGAGATAAGCACATGGGGATGATGGAAAATAGCATGGAAAGGACCTTCTGTGTCATGTCATCCAGTCCCATGCTCTTTGATGTAGGGATGGTATCTGTAGGGAACTGCACTCAATCTGAATTAAAACAAGTTGGGGTTTTCTTTCTGATAAAACTTCCTGCTAGGCAATCCCACAAATGTACTTCTTGGAGAGACAGGACCTTCTTCTCATCTCCAGCTGAAATGTTTTCCTGGCATGTTTGTACTCTCTTCTGGCAGCCCTGCCTCTTCACTCAAACGGCTCTTCTCTCTTCTTGGTACTTCTCTCTGGGGTATTCATAAGCAACAAATATATCTCATCCCAGCCTGTATTTTGCTAATTTTGAGAAACCAAGCCCTTTTAGTCTCTTCTTGTAGAAGAAAGCTCTCTCCTCCCCTGGTCATCCTAAAAGAGAAAAGCAGGGGAAAAAAAAGCAATTTTAAATTAATTCATCTTCTACGTGGATGTAGAACGTTCTGTACTTCTGTGATGGTATTAAAATCTTCTATTAGAAATCCTTCATCTGATGTGTCTTAGGCTCACATTTTTCTTTCTCACATCTGCATGATATTGCCAGCTTGCAGTCATTTGATCGGCTGGCGCACGCAGGTCTTTCTCCTCCTCTGTCACTTCCAACTGATGAGCTCCCAGCTGGTAGCAGAAATTCTCGTTATTACTCCCTCAGGGCACGACCTCGCATTTTGTACTATTAAATTTGATTCCATCTCTATTGCTTCTGTCCCTTTTTCGTAGGAAAACTGCTCTGATTAGTCACCGTATAATGCCTCAGAGACCTAAAGACATATTCACTATATTTTTATTTTTAGAAACCATTTGCTGTTTCAGTATTTTCATTCAGTGAATGATGCTGATGTCTCTCTGTATTACCCCATCTTTCTAACAGGAACTCCAGGCTGATGCAGAGAAGGGCAGGGGAAAATTGCCTCCCGGATGGGGTATATGGCAAGAGCAGGTACATTTCCAAATTGTTTCAAGGAAATAATTGCTTAAGCTCTTTGTCACTCTGTTGCTTGGAGTGACCAGACATGGTGTCCAATCAACAGGCAAACAGCAAAGTGCAGGTTCAAAAACATTCTGTTCTATCCAACTATTTTTTCCAAAGTGATCCATCCTTTCTGTGTCTGAATTTACTGTGTCTTGCTGCCGGAGTGCACATCTCGGCTTCAGCACTGTCATGGTGATGGCTTCCAGCACGTCTGTTTTTTAACCATCAAAACTATTTTATGACGTTCAAAGTACTTCAGAAACAACTGCCTTCATTGCTTAATTACTATGCTCGATTAACACTGGCAGTGGGCAGCTTATGAAGCTACGTGATGGTGATGAGAATTCATTTATTTTGACCTCCAATCTCTCAGTTACAAAGAACTGCTTTACCCAGAGAAAGCCTGATGCACTGCAGAACAGCCCCCTGACCCTAAAATACCATAGAAACCTCTGAGGCTCCACACTATCCACTGGAGAGAACCCTGGACCAACAGACACAGAGATAGAGAGCTTGGTTTTGAGCATGTGCTTTGTAAGGAGCTACCATTGAAGAGACCCATGCTGAAGAAGATTGCCACTGTGAGAGATATTCTATAGGCAAATGTGTTGCAGGAAATGGCTGGGAAGAGTTGCAAACAACAGTGCTGCAGGATTTTATTTCCCATGTCAGAATCATGTGGTTTACATTAGTTAGGTGTTTCCCAGGGCTGGGAGCTCTTTACAGGACTGCTCCAAAAACATGGCACTTCTCTCTCAGAGGGGACCTCCACAAAGCCCATCTCTACAAATGGATATTGAAGTTACTTGGGCTGCTTGTAAGCCAGACAAAGCCTTTGCATGTGGAGGGATATATGGCTGCTGTGGTGTTAAAATCCAAGCTGGTTTCAATTTGTTCTCACTTGTGCCACTGGGATACATCTCAGAGGCACGTGACAACTCATCCTGGTGTTCTCCAGATAGACAAAATGTGGTGCCCAGGAAAGGAGTTTCCATGTTGCCCTCTGCACGTGAGCTGAGGGTGTCCTCTGTGTTAGGGTACAGTGGGAGGACCCTCACTCTGTGCCTTGCAATAATTCTATGGCATGCTGCCCTCACTCAGAGTGGTGAGGATGCACACTCTGTTTATTGTGAGTTTCTGGCAGCAAAGGCTGTGTTTCCTGCCCTGTCCAGGCCTGCTAATGAGGCGCCTCTGACACCTGACAGGCCCTGCCTACCGAGATGTGGAAAGAAATAGAGGGAGAGGGAAAACAAAGCATCGTTTTGGGAGCAGGAGAACTTCTGAAACATTAATCTGGCGAATAACTCCCTGCCAGCTGAATTTCACTTAACCGCTGATCTGAATCGTGTCACAGATGGTATCGTCTTCCAAAGTGTTAGCAAAACACAGGGCTCAACCTGTGGCCATGCACTGCTATTTCTGATCCAGCACAACAACACGCCTGGAAAAGACAGAGCTTGTAATAACTGCAGCTCAGGAAAGAAAAACATCAACACAAGTTTGAAATTGGAATATCTGGTTTGCAGAAGGAGAATTGCCCTTTTTGCTCAACGCAGCAGTGAAGATGGGCTCGCAAGATAAAGAGCAGCACACGCTCTGATAGACTGTGAGATCTGCTGTGGTGCCCTTTAATAAGTGTAAAACCCATCCAGCATTTCTAGGTGTGAGGCAAAAGTGCTAGGTGTGGTAAGTAGGATTGGTTGTGGCACAAGCAGAGAGAGGAGGAAGAGATGGCATGCCAGCTGGGAACCTCTGTCTGTGTGCTATTTCATGCCTGCAGGAAGAACTGAGGTTTGAAACATTGTTTTAAATATTAAAACCAGGCCTACCTGTTGCAAGGTTTGATAAATGGTAGTGTTCTCAGGCATGTGATCTCTGCTACTGGAAGCTACACCTGTATTATCTCACCCTGAGGTCTTTTTGGCGTCTGAATTTAATTATATGTCCTGGTGGCATTCACTGTCACAGTGAGAAGTGACCAGCACTCCCCACCTGCCTACATGCCTGATGTCCATGCAAGAGGACACCTGGGCTGACTTGATGAGAGCTGTGGTTGCTCCATGTGGGCAGCACCCTGCCTGCAGCCATGGCACAGTATGCATTCCCCCAAGCAGATCTGCAGTGCAAGTACCTCCCCTGGGGATCCTATACCTGGTGGCCCCATCTCAGCTAGTGTTTTACAAGCAGTGTTTTACAGAGACAGGATTTCCATCACCCCAGTGTCCCAAGAAGGGACAGCCTCCCACGGATGCCCATAAATGCTCCAAGAATGCCAGGCATTGCCCTGGCACCTGGCTCAGCCTCCTGCTCCAGAGGCACCTTGTGAGAAAGCTTTAGAGAAGGCAGCATTTGAACATCTTTCATTTACATGCCCCAGTACCAAGATATTAAAAGAATAATATAAAGGGTTGCCAAAGCAAGGCATCTACAAAATGAAGAATACTGTACACATCCTTCAGCCAGGTGTTTGCAGGTACCTGCTGCTCCTATTCCCCAGCACCTGTCTTGAAATTCCAGGGTACAGAACTCTGCGGTGGTGGAGGTAGGTAAGAGCCCTGCTTTGACCCTTTGGGTACCAACCTTTTCCTTGTCAGCCCAGAGTGAGTATCAGGCTACCTCTTCCAATCTGCAGTGAGCTAGTAAAAATGTGGGAGCTGCTGTAAGAACTTCAGCATTATAGTTGTGCTACAGAAGGACCTAAGAGGGAATTGATAGGGCCAGGGTAACCAGATTTGAGTAGTGTGTAGTACAAAAGACTGAAGAATCTACTAGCCGGAGGGAAGACCTCTCATGGAAGATGTCAGCCCGGCCAGTTAAAGTCAGGCAGCCTTGTAAAGAACTGAGTAAAATGGCAACCTGCATTATAGATGCTGCTACTACCTATCATGTAATGAGATTTCATAAAGAAAAGCCATCTCAGTGGTTTCCAGAAGGATTACTTTAGCACACAGCTGGGCACATGGGCTGATTAAACAGAGATGAAATTTCAAACAACTGGAACAGCCTACCACTGAAAGAGATGGAGTGAAACCTTGCTGGCACAGAGCTTGCAGACAGGACGATTCTCAGACCTCATTTTTTCCATCAGGAAAGGTTTTGTGTGATCTCAAGATGGTGTGGTTTACACTGCCCTTCCTCAAAACACCACTTCCTGCTTGAGAAATGACATTGGCTTGCAGTGGTGGGCGAAAAGGAGACAGTGCAATGAAGAGATACCAAAGGCAGGGAAGAGTTTGACTTCTTCCTTTGTGAATATTTGGGATGCTGAGGCCAAGGCAAGGCTATGATTCCTTGCATCACCTAACGCCTCAGAGCCACTGGCAGGCTCACAGCACAGACTAAATGGATGTTCTTGCTACTGGTGTTTTTGTCATCAGCAGCTAACTAAGCAAACGACAGAAAAATGTATCATTCAGGGAACTGTGTCCACCCTCCGTTGTTACACGATATGGCTTTAATTATCCTCAAAGGATCTAATGACAAATTATGGACTAGTCAGTGCCTTTTGAAGTCAACAAAAAGATTCCTGTCGACTTGAGTGGGCTTTGGCTGAGAACCATGAACTGCAGGAGGATGTTCGAACTGCTGTGATTTCATACTGGCCTCTACGAAGGGGTGGTTTTGCTCACTGGGAAGCCACTGGTGCTGGAGCCAGCAGAACCGAGTGCCCATAGCTTCCAAAATCAGGAGCATGGATTTATCAAACCCTTCATTCACCTTTGCTCCTCGTCTGTAGAAGCATTGCATGCCTATCTGTAGCTCCCACTGTTTACCCTTGCACCATCCCACAATCTTAGCACTAAGAGTCTGGCCTCTTGTTTTATTTTTTCCCCCAACACTTGTTCTAGAATAAATGTCAGTCCATGCTAATTTCTAAAACTGGCGAAGCTATCAAATCAGATTCAATTAGGCTCTTTCCACCCCTTGCACATGCCTGAAAAAAAAAGCTTTGGTTGGAGTTTAGCTGACGATGCTTTTGTGCAAGAAAGGAAAGGCTCCAGTGAGTTCTCTGTAACTGAAGCCATATGGGATTGAGACTTGTTGAACCAGTAATGAAACATGCCTGTGTCACAGAACAGTTTTGGTTCCAAGACATACAATGGACTGTTTGCAAAATCATGTTGCTGGTTAAAGCTACAATTTTAAAATTGACGAACAGTTTAGGGGCTCAGCTGCTTAGGACTGCTTGGGAAAGTTTTTAAAAGACCCAAATCAACCTGAGGTTCTCTGTTGACTTGTTTTCGTAATATATTTAACAACTGTATAGTGGTATATCTTTGCCAGCCATTTAGGCAAGTTGCTTAAGACACATTAAGAGATAAGAAGAGTAAAAATGATTTTAACTTCCTAATTCTCCGTCCACCTTCCCAACACACTCAGTGGCACTGAGAAGCAAGTAAATTGCTAATGCAGATTAAGTTGTCCTTCGAGGAGCTACTGCAATTAATCACCCAGTAACCCTTGAACAAAGAAGTATTTCCACGACACATCAGTGTTTCCAGATTTGGAAAGGGCTTGATAAGTGCTTAACTGAACTCTCACAGTGAGGGAAAAAGAGTGTTGCTTCTGGAGGAAGGCCTGGAATAGATAAAGGGGAAAATAACTTCCCTGTCCTGCCTGCTGGGTAAGAAACCTGCCTGCTCAAGAGTAGCTTTTCTTTTTATTTGTTTGTTTTTTATCTTATTTCCTCTAGGGGTTTGACAGCGAAGAAGGAGGTTGAAGGAAGTCAGAAGTGTTTCAGCCTCTTGAATTTTTCTGGTGCCTGGAAGCCTGCTCACTTCCACCTACCATCTTTCACCACTGCCCATAGCCACCTGAGGTTCATGTATGTTACAACATCAGGTACTCTGCTTCTTTTTTTGTTTTAATTCTTAATCTCAGTGTCACGTGTCTTTGTAATGCAAACGGGAAGCAGCATTTTGCGATCCTCAAAGAGCTTTGGTAATTCTTTTCAAAAACTTGAGCTTTTCTGAAGTTCCTTTCTTGATAGCACTGGACTGAGGTCTGCCCCTGAGAATATTCACCTCAGAACCTTCTGGCCCCGAGTATGACACAATAAGTTCCTGCTCAGCAGGGTGGATAGAAGCATGCCTGCAGCACTGCTGTGCATCCTGAGCAAGAGGAGCCCCCTGGGGGCCTCAGTCCTGGCAGTTCCAATGTCCTCCTGGGGGCTGCAGGAGCAGATGCTCCATTTATTCTGGGCTTTCCCTTTTTCCTCTCTGATTCTGTCTCAAGTAATTAAGGACTGAAAGGTTGCATTAAGTGCCGCCTGGGGAATCGTATTTTACTGCAGACAGTGTTCCCCGTTATCGGTTATTGTATTGTAATAGGACCTAAAAATCCAATATGATCCCTGCTCTGAGAGATTTAGTATCAAAATGCATTAACCACAGAGACAGGTTTGATTATGGTGCAACATAGCACTGGAAATTTAGGTGACCTGAGCCAGCGTGCATTGGAAAGAGGCAAGCACTGGTGGCAAATGGCTCAAATCATGGTTCAGTGCCTCCAGTGCAAAATCTGGCTCACATACAAAGGCAGTAGAAACACCACAAGGGACAAAGCTGAGAAGTTCATTTTGTAATTTGTTGCTAACCAAAATAGGTGAAGTCATCTGCAGTTGCATGGGAACCTGCTTGTTACAGGGATACGTTTCAAATTCCCAGTGTGGATTTTCCATCGTAATCCACCACTTAGGAAAAAACAAAAAACAAAAAAAGAAAAAAAAAAAGAAAAAAACAACAAAGCAAACCCACAAAACAACAACAAAAATAAGAGTAAAAATAAGAGAGCTCAACGTCTCATAATAAGCTCTCTCTGCTGTGGCAGCAGCTGCAGTTTCTCCTCTCAGATTTCTCTTCTGTTATTACTCAGAAAGAATCAGCAGCTGCTTAGGATGCAATCCAGAAAGATTCATTGAGAGGTTCTTGGTGGTTTTTCAGATACTGATTGGACAGAGGTAACGTCTTTGAGGAAGGCACTGCCCCTTATAAATTAGTGGCTTCTGATAACTCAGCTCTTTGAAAGGAAATAACGGCAGGAGGAATCGAGAAATAATTCCAGGTGATAGGAGATGAGTACATTTTTATTGTCTTGGAGGGGACGTGGGAACCACGTAGGTAACTTCAATTGTTGTTGCAGCTCTCTGAAAGCCTGTGCTCAACCATGCTGCTGTCCAAGTGGGGATATCTGCAGGCCACATCCATAAGGGTTCATCTGGGAGAGATGCTGCAGCACAGGCTCCTCTAGAGTCTTCAGGATACATCCATAGTGAAGCCATTTTGGTGCTGTTTGTGTTTCATGGTTGTGTCCTGGGTAAAAACCTGGATAAGAGCTTTTGGTCCAGGTTGTCTGGTACTCCCAAAAGCCACCTACTGACACACACAGGCTCTGAGGAATGTAGAAGAGATAACTGGAGGGTAATAGAGAGGGTTATTTCTACGGAAAAATCCGGTCTCTTTCCTTTTATTGAAGTCAGTTCATGATCATCTATATAAAAGAAAGCTGTGTTCTGAGAGCACACATGCATTTGCATATGGCTGGTGTTCTCTTGCAAACTATTTGAATAAAAATAAAAGAAAAATGAAAATAGGAGTTTTCACTCAAGGGAAAAGTTAATGAACTCACTTCTCTTTCTTTCACTCCCTGATTAAATATTATGTTACCATTTTGTCTTTGTGCATGAAGAGTAAAACCCTGCTCTGTATTTTGCCAGCTTCATTCATGAAGCTTTGCATTATTTTTACTGTACTAAAAAATTAAAAATGACTCTCACCACGTGAGAAGCAGAATGGAGAAGAGCAGTAATTCCCAGCAGTGTGGAAGAAGGAGAAAGTGAAAGATGAGACATCTTTTGTTTCTTTGAATAGGCATGAGCTGTGCTCCAGCACACGCTGACAAGAACAGTCTGAGAAGACTGGCTACAGAAGGCATTACCTGCCATGTAAAGTATCTGTGTGACCTTCCTTTCTGAAGAGTGTTTCTTTTTAGTTTAACATTCGTTATTTTGGAGAGCCCATGACCTGAGCAGCAAATTGCAGTGATGTTTTAGGTTTGGCTGCTTGAATGTTCTGATTTTCGGTTTTAGCTGCTGGGGAGGATTTCAGCAGATTTTCAGCTGGGCTAGCTAAGCATCACCAGACTTCTCTTCTGCAGTGGTCAAGCAGCTCAGCTGAGCTGGTGTTATGTGGTGTTCAACCTACTTTTAGGTGTCAGCAGAAGCACCGGCAACATCCGAAGAAGTAAGCGCAGACTCGTATGCCAGAGGACGGCTCCAGAAATGGCTTGGTGTTTTATTAACACATCAGAAGGCTATTGCTGTGGATTTGTTGGTTCTCTGGACATACAGAAATTGCTAGAAGCACCTCTCTGAGGCACCATTAGAAAACTAGCTCTGTGTGAAAGCATCTTGACGGGGAAAGTCTGTCAGCTGCTCAGTATGGCTTTTTTTCAAATCTTCTTGAGAATGAACATTGTTGCTTTTAATCTACAAGTGGATGCAGGGTTTAATAGAGGCTTAATGCCTGAATGGCTTGCAGTCTTATTCAGTCAGCTGTTGAGATGTGAGTAGGAGTAATAGGAGATCGCAGAGGAGGTGTCCACATGCAAACCTTGTAAAACACTGTTTTGGGGGTGTGAGTGTGTGTAAATTTTTAGAAAGGGGGAATGAAAAGCAAACAGACATGAAAATGAGAGTGGAAAAATTAGTTTTAATGCTTAGATGTCAACTCCTCCATCCAGGGATTTCATCTGTGCTGCTGCTACTGGCCCATTTTGGTGCATAGTAAGAACAATTCCTCTAGCTGCCAATCAACCATTTTCTTTTTGATAATTATTCACATTGCTGTAGAAACGGAAATTATCCCTATTTTCTCACTTTCCAGGGAAAACTGTAGTTGCAGCTGCTCCCTCCCCCCGTTTGGAAGTTTTACATGCTAAGAGTCATCAGCCAGCCTTGCCTTTAAATCAAATCTTTCCATGCAGCCTGGATGGAAATCTAGCAAGTACAGCAGCTGTCTACTCTTAGCAAGGAGAAAAGCAACATGTTTCTTCAGCCACTGGCTAGGGAATTCCTGCTCAAAGAAGAGGGCTACGCCTTGTCTGATGCCTTTATAAAGTCATAGGAAACAGTTTCCTGCGGGCTTTCACAGATAGTGCTAATCATCTTAAACTGAAACAGGGCTTCCAAAAACAGCATGTAAATCCCCATAACACACCTTCAATTTCTGTCTCCAAGGCTACCCAGCTGCCCTGATCCTCTGTGTTAGGCTCAAAATGCCATGATGCTTCCTTTTGAACTATTCCTTGCCCGCTTCTCAAGCCCTCTTTTCTCCCAGACCTCCCCACAGCCAGGAGCCCCACTAGCTTGCCTTGCTTGCTGGGGACAAGGATTCACAGCATTGCTGCCCCGTGCTGGGTGATGAGCAGTGGGACATCTGCGTGGCAGGGGATACAAGGCTCTCTGCTGTCCTGCAGCTGAGTGAAACTGATTTCCACAGGGGCACAAGAAGAGCTGCATGGTCCTGCCCTGCCCAGTTGTGCTCACCCATCTGCACAAAGGCTGGGTCTAAAGGGCTCTTTAAAACCATGTTAATAGCATTTTTCATGCTGCTTTTAGTGAACCTCCTCATTCTGCTCTCAGCCATGCAGTTCATGAATAGCAGCTATTCCCCGGTCAGGGAAGCACATTTTGGGGGACACAGTATACATAGCCTTGTTGGACATTTTTCAGTGATTTTACATGCAGATACTGCCTTCTCACAGCAAGCCAAATTCTGCCCTCTCCTGAAGTCTCTTGGGTCTAAATTAGTGAGACTTTATATATATCGTGATTTGAATCTGAATGTGCTTCCTTGCTTGCGATCCCTGTGGTCACAGAGCAGGCAAGGAGACTTTGTGCTGTAGTTTACCTTGCCATAAGCAGGCTTTTTCAGTCATCTTGGTGAGCGCATTCCCTGCGTTGCCAACGCGGGAGCATTTTCTGCAGGATGCAGGATTTGCAAAGGCACAGATGTATGGGGCAGTGTCCCATCAGCATGCAGAATCACCCAGCTAATGGATCATCTCACATCTTCTCTGAGAAGATAGCACCTGAGGTCCCTCCCAAAACATTCCCCAGGACTCGTAGGAGTGCTGGATGAGGCATTTGTGCTGCAGACACCCCCAAAGCACTGCAGAGTCAAGAGAATGATGCCAGACTAGAATCAATGAGGCCTTATGCGGGCACTCAAGAATAACAAGCCAACCAGTGGATTTGCAGGCAGACTGTAACAGCTTGTTATCTGATGTCCCCTGGGCACAAACACTGAGACATCTGCAGTTTTGACCCGTTTTTTCCCTCTGCTGGCTCAATAGCTAGCTAGCCAGTCATCCAAAGTGGAAACAAAACAGAGGGAAGAAGAGAACGCATGCCAGTAAGCAGGAGAAGCTGGAAATATTGGGGCGCCAAAAGGACTGGAAATAAAATAAGAACACTGGTTTCTTTGCTCTCCTTTATTATTTGTGCATCAAGCTCTCTGAGTTTGTTTCTGGAACTCTGTTGAAAGCTTGCTAGTTGTCACTGAACTTTTATGTTGGTTTATTTTGCATGTATTTTGCATCTCCAATCTCTTTGTTCAGCACTGCAAGATAAAAATGAACCTGAACAACACACATGGGGACTTCATCAATTGTCTCTGGTCCTTATAATCTCTTTCCCTTCTATCAGAGGCCAGGAGGAGCCCCAGAGCAGGCTGCCGGGTCCTTGGAAAAGAGATCCTTGGAGCACAGCAGCCATGCCAGCTAACACTGTGCTTCCCTGTTTTCAGGCTGTTGTTACTAAAGAGTGTGCCCAGATAGTCTGAAGGGGTCATGAACACCAGCCTCAGCCTAATCTTCTAATTAACTCCTGTTAATGTAAGTGCACTCGAGAAGATTCTTTCAGCCACGCTGCTCAAGAAATTAGAAGTCCTCTCTCAAAGAAACAGTGTGTTTCTTCTTTCGTAGTCCAGCATGATAACACCATCTTCCTGCATGAGAAGGATTTGCCTCATCCTATGGTGCTCATTTCTCATCCCTGGATTACAGTTTATTTTAAATCAACTCAGGATAATAGGTGGCAGCTCAGTGTATACTATCTGCAGCATGTTTTAGCCTTGCAAAGGCAGAGGCCTCCTGGTTTCTCGGTTCTCTAATTTCTGCACCTTGGAAAAGCCTAAAGATTGGGGTGTGTGCCTTGCAATGATAGGTAATGCTCTGGGACCTATCAGAGAAACATGCTGCTGCTGCTGCTGCTGCTGGTGCTGCTTCTCTTTTAACCTGATGCAGCCTCATCGCATGGATGCTCCGCTCATTGCAGTCAAGGTTAGAAAGGGATTTGAGCCTCTTACTGATGTGGAAAGAAAGCAGTCCCATAGGTAGAAACACGAAGAATAGCTGAGCTCAGACTGACCTCAGGAAAAAAACAAAGCAAGTTTTCACAATGGAGTGTAGCTGGACTGCACTGAGAGAATGAATGTGGGGCAGGATGAGAATTGTACCTGCCTGTGTTATAAGCAGAGACTCTGCAGCTCTCCTGACGTCAATTTTGCCTAGGAGAATCCATCTGAAAATAAACAAATACCAACAGAAATGCTTCTATTGTTTTCTTTCTCTGTTGGTAATAAAAACTATTCCTTTAAAAAAGAGCAATATCCTCCCCTATGATTTTTGCAGTCACAACACAGAAATGGAGAAAACCTGAAAGCACAATTGACTCCTTTTGATTTTTCCTATTTCAAGAGAGAAGACATGCCAGCGGGAAAGAGAACAAAAATCACACTGAGTAAATCTGGAATTTAAACTGCCACCAGTGATCAACAGCAACCATCCAAATATTTATTTCTTCTTCTACGGTTTCTTTCTGCTTAAGCTGATCAGCAGATCTTTAATTTGATATTCAGTCATCATTACATAAAAACATGTATCTTTTAGGTCGTTTCTTTAATTATTCACTTCTGCAGGAATTCAGATGGCAAGATTCAGGGGATAATTTAGTCACGTACCGCCTTAGTATGCAGCTTCTCTTCAATAATTTGTTGACTGGTGATCTCCATTTGGTACTAGAGATCAAGTCCTCCTCACACTGAACTTGACAAGAAAATATCCAACAGTTTGAGAAGGGTGTTGGTTTTATCCCTACTGCACGTGCCATGGCAGAGCTGCCACAACATCTAATGCCAGATCTCTAATACCTAGACAGTGCTTTGAAATACAGCTTCGTGTACGGAATACAGTCACAGTTTCAAGCAAGAAGCAGGGGAGGGACTGCAGCTCTGCTGCTGGAAGCATACAAGTGGGGCATGCAGCAGGGAGGTGTCTTCCTTCCTGCCTAGCAGGCTGGATAAGTTTTGAGTGTGGTTTGCTTGTGCTTGCTCATCAGTGATGTGGTGTGCAAGCTTCAGCCACTCACAGGTCTCCACAACCTGCCTGCCGCCCAGTTATCATGGCAGTAGACCACCATAAATATTTCTGCAGGCTAGCTTCTAAGGTCATGCTGCTAAACCTCCATATATGCACTGAAGTATCATGATACATGGGTTTGTGTGTTTTTTTTTCTCTCCATGTGTGTTTAGTGCTTTAAAATTCCATCCCGTTCAACAAGAGCTCAGCATGTAATATAAAGCAGCTGTTTATGGGTGCTTAAGTACAGAGTTAAGAACCAAACTTCAGGCAGCCAGATTTGAAAAGTGTAGTCAGTTCTTAAATGATGTGCTCTGCTGAAAGGAGCCTACTCTAAAAATGCTCATGAAATGTAAAAGTTTATGATGGAAAGGAACCTGTAGCAAGCAGCATGTGTGCTTCCCACTTTTCCTAGGTTTCATTATGCCTTCCTGCCTCACAGAACAGCTGTAACATTAAACCCATTGAAATTTGTAAAGTGCTTAGAGATCCACTGAAGAGAGGCAGGACAGAAGTAAAAGGTACTCAATTTTCATGGCGTTTTATCAGGCAAGAGAGTTTCCAGAATGTCTTCGTAACAAATAAGAATAAATAGCTGCAAATGTAAAATAATACCCTGCGCTCACTAATAGGTATCTTTCAGGCAGTGGTTGAGGAGAATATTTAAGAACAGTGTAGATTTGAAGACTTGAATTCATATTTCAATACATTTCTTAGGGCCATAGCTTTATGCACTTCACTAGTGCATGAATACTATCCAAATCTACTGGCATTTGAGTAATAGTGGCAAATAGTTTGTCTGATTGTTTTCTCCTGTCAAATTTCTACTAAATTTTCAAATAAATCACTCACAAATGTTTTTTTTTTTCCTCATGACTTGGTTACCTCAATAGCCAGATGAATAATATTCATCAAATAAATTACTTATTTTTTTCCCATAAATCTGCAAATAATTAATTCACAAGTACTTTCTACACGAGGCAGTCAGCTCTAGCCAGGACAAATCAAGGTAATTTCCTGCTCTTTTGATCAAATGCCAGTAGGACTTTATCTTGGACAGCTCAATAGACACAGGTTTTAATGCATAATACATAATGGGTAAGCTGAGTTTTTCACAGTTCTTTGAGAGCTCTCTGCTGCCCGTATTTCTGTTCAACTACCGAGAGAGGCATGACAAGGGACATATATTTTCTGTCCAGGTGTGCTCAGAAGCATTTCACCAACCTGGCTGTACAGCCCAGAGGCTGCCAGGCTCTCACCAGCCACAGCCTCTTGGCTGGAACATGCCAGCAGGTTTGTAGAGCAAAGAGAGATTTAATGAGGATTGAGGATGAGTATTGTGCCCACTCCAACATCTCAGGCAAACCTCGAGCAGAATGAAATCAAGAGACGTGGAGTTTGGCCAGCACATGGGGATAATGTCCCTAGCTCAAAAGGAAAGAATCTTTAATGAAAAGCCATGACCCAGGGTGGCACATCTACATGTAGGAGTCTCCAGGACAGTCTTTACACTGTGGCTCCCTTTCCCTGGGGATCTCATGTGAGCAGCTTGGAAGCGGCCGACGATCTCCTTCCTGCCCCCAGTTGTACATGTATTGCTGACAGAGCAGCTGAGCATGGCCCTATCCTCCTGCCTAGCCCTCTCTTTGTTGTGGAGAGTTTATGGCTGCCACACAACAGCCCTCAGGCTCTGGGACCACAAGATTGCTCCACTGCTTAGGTCTCGCAGCCAGCAATCTGCATGGGAGCAGTGCTTCTGCAGCCCCTGCCCTGAGCAGGGTGCTGGGCCTTGTCTGAGTGGGCCCTTCTTTTGCCAGAGATGTATAGGGCTCCTGAATGCTGCATGCCTTGTACCCCACACTCCCTGTGGGCACTCATCTCACCTCTGCTGCTCAGGAACAAGGCGAGGAACACAACTTGCTTGTCTGATTTAGTCAGCAGGGAGGTTTTACAAAGCTTGCTAAGTATGTGCTGGAGGAGTTGTGCAAGTAGGGAGGGTTTGCAGGTGGCTTTCTTGAGGATCAGCGTGTGCTCATGTTTATGCTCATATGTGTGCATATTGTTTCATATAACCCTTCAATTGTGATCCTTCCCCGAGAGTCTGCTGGCTAATCTAGTTACCCCAAAATGAGAGACGCCTTCAGCCCATGCATTATGCAGCAATCCAGGTATGAAGAAATGTAGGCAAACATTCCTGCATTGTCATCAATAAGTGAAATATATGTGGTATCTATGCAACAACAGCAATGCTAAATGCTGAAAGTCAAACTGGATGCCTTCCTGAGAAACAAACAACTGACCACATATTTACTCTGCATGTCATAAATAAACATGGAGAGAGCACAAAAACAGAGGAAGATATTTGTCTCGACTTTATGCTCAGAGAAAGCTTTCAACTCAGTCTGGCTCCCATAGCTGAAGTATACAAAATGGAACTGGCAAGGGGAAAAAATGACATAATCACATACATGCAACAATCCATTTGAAAGTAGGACACGCAAAAAAGGAAGAAAGCCGGCTTTGAAGGGGAAGGTAGACTGATGCTGTGGTCAGCTCCAGCTCTCTTCTTACTGGCCTCTGCACCAGCGATTCATCAGCCTCACAGAAATGGTTCTCAGTTCAATTGGGGGATCTCAAACGTGCCAAAATTGTCACAACTTTTCAAAATATCCTTTAACACTCCATGTTGCAAGGTTGTATAGTGAGAAAGGAAGAACATCAGTGGCACGTGGCCAGAAGATGTATTGGAAAACAGAGGTGTGAGAAGAGGGCTGGGGATGAGCTCCACATGCTTTCTGTGTAGTGTATCAGTTACTGACCTAATTTCATTTTTGGATATGTGAGAAGAGGAAAACCAAATAATGATGGAGAAATGATTTTTCTTCTGTGTGCAGCATGTGTACAGGCTACAATGATATTACATCCAGGGTCAGTGCCTGTGTGTCAACAAGCACTTGGAAATATGGGAGAATCCACAAAATGCTGCAGGGGCTGGAAACTGAATCATACAATGCAAGGCTTCAAAGAAAACCTATTCAGCGTAGCAGGGAGAGGTGATAGGAGCACAGGTTTGTAGACAAAGGCGTAACCGGTTCTGACGTCTCGAAGTTGAAGTTAGACAAATTCAACCTTGAAAGAAGCAATTTTCTAGCAGCAAGAATAATTAAGCACTGGAACAAATTAAGTGTAAGGTGGTGTAAGGCACTTGCCATTCCTTGGAGCCTTTGAGGCAAGATGCGCTGTCTCTCAAACAAACCCGCTTTGATCCAGCTGCTGAGAAAAGCTCTGTGGCTCATGTGTACAGGTCAGATTAAGGGGTTACAGTGGCCCCTTCTGTTTTCAGATCTGTATGGGGAGGAAAAGGGTTTCTAGTACAGGCAAATTAAAAAAGGGAGCTGACACTTGTTGAGAACACCACACCACAGCTCAGGAGAGCAAGAATTTATCTTTTCACCAGCGCCAGTAATATTGCAAGCAACAGTGAAGCAGATATCTGCGTCTGGTGGTTACAGTGAATACCATGGGAATTTCCAAATGGCATAACCAGAAGGAAAGGCTTTCCAAGGCCACCTCTTGCAGAAATCTGCTGCTCTAGCCATTCAGCCCTGTAATGCAGGTCCTTGTCAGTAACCCCAACCCAGCAGAGGAACATGGTGAGCACGGGACAGGCAGGGAGCACGGGGCTCCTGTCAGCGGGATACTTGTGCATACAGTGACCTATGCCCATACATACACTGCTGCTGCCAGGCTGAAGGAGTGTAGGGGGAGATATTTGGACTAGAGTTTGATGAAGGATCAGTAGTTCAAACAGCATGATGAAAGTGGACAGGTAAAAAGGAGAGATCTCCTCTGTTTTCTGAATTTGACACAAGGGACATGGCTTAAAGAGGGGATGTTTTTCGGTGAAGAAGTTCAGAAGAAATGTGTTTGAGTGGTGGCAGAGGAGAGCGATAGAAGCAGGTGGCATGAACAAGCTGGCACAGGGGCACCATAAACACTGATGAAGGCAGTCTTGTTTGGTTTAGGCATCCTGCTGGCAGCTGCAGCCCCATTCCTAAGCCAGAGTAACTCTGATGGGACAGGGCTGTGTGTTGTACACACCTCACCTGAACTGGAGCTCAGGCAATTGTGGCTGGAGGGTGAAAGTTCTCTCAACTCATTTGAGGAAGGTTCAGCCTCATTCCTATCAGGCAACACCCTCCTTACTGTAAAGCAAGACAGAATGAATGACAAAGTCCAATCTAAAACGCAGCCAGATAACCATCCCCAGGTACACACACAGCACACACTTCCTGCTGCCAGGAACACCCAGCCCAACTCCAAGCCCAGGTGTGCTGCAGGACTTGGGGTAAAGCTGCAGCAGCCATGCTGCGGTGGGGGCAGAGGGGCTCAAGGCTGGATACACAGAAGTGTCCCACGCGGTGAAATCCGTGAGATGGACTTGGCTCCACCACACAGGCCTGAAGGAAGCGGGGGAAGCAAACAGTGAAACGCACACAGAGGGAGCACACATGTTTAACACGGCGGAAGGGGCTGAAGCGCAGCGGTGCCTGGGGGTCAGGGTCAGGCAGCGCCATGGCGGCGCCAGAGCTGAGCGCAACTCCGGGCAGCCCACTGCCGCCGCCCGGCCTCTCCCGGCCACGTGCAGCGGCGCCCCTCCGCGCTGCCGCGCTGCCCCGCTGCCCGCGGGCGGACGGGTCGGGCTCTCCCCTCCCTTCTCGGCGGCTGAGGCCGAGCCGGGCCGGACCCGCACCTCCCCCGCTACCTGCGGGCGGGGGCGCGCGAGGGCGGGCGCTGGGGAAAGTTTGTCTCTGTGGTTGGCTGCGCGGCTCAGCGCGGCCGGTCGGGGCGGGCGGGCGGCTCCGAGCGCTCGCAGGGCAGCGGGAGGCGAGCGGCCGCCGGTCCCCGGGCGGAGGGAGGCGAGGCGAGCGTGTGTCGGCGGCCGCCATCCGCCTGGCGAAGGGAGAGGCACCCGCCGGCATGGGGCAGCGCGGGGAGAGGGCGCCGTGCCCGCTCCCGCTCCTCCTGCTGCTGCTGCTGCTGCTCGGTGAGCCCGGGGGCGGCGGGAGGGGGCCGGGGCACGGCTGTACTCGACCGCAGGTAGCGGGGAGGGCAGGCAGGCCCGTCGGCGCTCGGCGCGGGAAGGGGGCCGGGCACGCCACCGGGCCGTGCTGTTCTCCGGCGGGCGACTGCCGCCCGCGGGCGTTAGCGGCCGGAGCCGCCCGCACGCCGCGGCTGGAGAAGTTTCGGAAGGGGGGAGGCTGGGGCCGCCGTGTACGACCCGCTGGGAGCCGGGCCCCGCCGCACAGGTGTGAAGAGCTGGGGTGGGCGAGCAGGGAGGTGCTCAGGTGAAAGCCGTGCTCGCTGCGGGGGGCGAGCGGCTGGCGGTTGCCCTGCGGTCGAGCCCCGGTGGCGGTCGGGGCTCGACCGCAGGGCACCCCCCCGCCAGCCGCCAGCGCTCCGCCGGGCTCGGGTCAGAGGGAGCGAACTGCTAACGGCGTGCCCCCGCACCCCGCCCAGCAACGCTTTTCTTCGAGCAGAGCAGTATTTGCTGACTTAGTTGGTGCTCGTACTTTTGACATCGCGATGACTAATTCTTTTCTATAACTGCCAGAGAGCGCTCTCCCCGTGGCCGGGCTGCGGGATCCTCCGCAGGGGGAATTCCCATAACCCTGTTTAGAAACAGAAAGGGAATGATATTTCTCAAGCGAACGGCTTGGTAGGACAGGCAGGAAATCAAGGGCTCAGGTGAAGTTCTGAAGATCGTGCAGCCGAAAGAAAAAAAAAATATATCCAGAAAGGTGTCCTGTTTTTATCCTTTTTAATTCCAGACCAAATAATCATAATAACTAATAATCCAAATAACTTAAAATGTACATGTGGCTGGTCAAGCTGTGGTTTCTCTGAACATTCTGAGTTGTGCTTTGGGGTTGTTTTTTTTTTTAATTGCAGTGTGCTGTTAAAATCAAAAGCGCTTTTGTGCACAGCGGGAAGAACCCTGAACTTCCCAGTGTGGTGTATTTGCTGTGTGAATATCTGCTGCTATAGAGGCTGGGCAGCTCTGTGAGGTACTCCGACTGCTCAGAGGTCAGTGTGTGAGAGGCTGGTGAGGTGCTCCTCTTCTCACTGTGCGAAGAGTGCTGCTGCCAGCGTGTGTTTTCTAGCAGCTCTTCAGTAGAGGGGAGAGTTGTCTCTTTTAACCAGCGTGCTGAAGGTGTTGATGCATTTCTGTATAGCCAAGGTGATGGGAAGGAGTTGAGGTTTGGAAGAGTTCGTGGGCACAGATTGCCCAGGGAAGTGCTGCAGTCACCATCCCTAGAGGCTTTTTAGAACCCTTTAGATGTGACACTGAGGGGCATGGTTGGAGGGCTTGGTGGGGGTGTGTTGGTGGTTGGATTGGGTGACCTCAGTGGTCTTCCAACCGTAATGATTCCACAATCCCTTGTGTGTACTTAGACTTGATTCAGATTTTTACAAAATAATGCAAGAAATGGCCGACGTCTTTGGCTGTGGCAAATGTTTTCTCAGCCTTTTTTCCTTGATGCGGTGCCTTTGTTGTTTGTCAGTGACAGCACAGGTAAGGAGATGGTGGATCCTGGGCTAAAGGCCTAGGTAGAAGGCCTCACAAAATCCTCAGCAGAGCAGACCAGGCTGGGGGAAGATGCGGGATTCAAAGCAAGAGTTGTGTAAGAAGAGTGTTTACTTTTCCAGCCTGTGTTAAGGTTAGCAAATGATTGCTTAGTCACCTTTTCTTTCCGGCTCTCGTGCATCTCTTCAGGTCCAGGACTACTTTTCAGGGAGCACAGGTGCTTTTTCTGAAATTCTTCATCCGTGTTCTCTGGATTTCTTGATTGCAACGTTTTGACATGGCAACAGCTTGTTCTCTTTAGGTAGCCTCTGTTGTATTTGGCTCTAATCCCTGAATTGAGGTATAAGCCTGCCTCGACAAGATTTGAAGTAAGCAGTAGGGGTCATTTAGAAATGCAACTGCATGCTTGATTAGAGGAGAATGTATGTAAAAAATAATACATATCTGTCCATCTATCTGCATAAACAAATGCTCAGGGATGTTTGAGATTATAGCTTTCGCATCTGAAAAACTGGTGGGTTAAATTGGTTTTGTGTGGTTGGTTTTTGGTGGTTATTTTCCAGTCTCTGTAATCCTTTTCGAATACTTAACTGCAAAACAGATGTATATATTTTCTTAATGAAGAAACAGTTACATATTTCAGTAAGGTACTTTTAGAAAACGAATGTGTCAGTTGTCTGTTTTTAGATGCCTTTCACTCATGCAGAGAAGGACCTGGGGATCTTGATGGATGAAAAGCTTAACATGAGCCAGCAGTGTGCTCTTGCAACTCAAAAAGCAAATGGGCTCCATCAGAAGAGGAGTGGACAGCAGGGACAGGGGGATGATTGTCCCTCTCTACTCTGCTCTTGTGAGGCCTCATCTGGAGTACTTTGTCCAGGTCTGGAACCCCCAGTACAAGAAAGACAGGGAGCTGTTGGAGAGGGTCTAGAGGAGAGCCAAAAGATGATCAGGGGACTGGAGCACCTCCCCTATGAAGACAGGCTGAGGGAGCTGGGCTTGTTCAGCCTGGAGAAAAGAAGGCTGTGGGGTGACCTCATTGCAGCCTTTCAGTACCTAAAGGGAGCATACAGACAGGAGGGGAATCAACTCTTTGAAAGGGTAGATAACGGCAGGACAAGGGGAAATGGTTTTAAGTTGAGGGAGGGGAGATTTAGGTTGGAAGCCAAGGGAAAGGTCTTTACAAAGAGAGTGGTGAGGTGCTTGAACAGGCTGCTCAGAGAGGTGGATGCCCCGTCCCTGGAGGTGTTCAAGGCCAGATTGGATGGGGTCCTGGGCCGCCTGGTCTAGTGTTAAATGTAGAGGTTGGTGGCCCTGCATGAGGCAGGGGGTTGGAGATTCATGATCCTTGCGGTCCGTTCCAACTCTGGCCATTCTCTGATTCTGTGATGCATTTTTGTGTGAAGTTCTGTGTCTTAGGAGGCAGAGGAATAAACACATCTGAAAATGAGAATTATTCCTGATACAGAAAGAAATCAATCACTTGGAAGTTAATTTGGGAAGAACTTGAGCAAAATGTTAGTAGTAAGAACTGGATAAAACAAGGGTTATGCCGGTGTCAGTCAAGTCTCTAGATCTGGAAGAAAGGACATTAGAGGAACTATGAAGTGAGGATATCTTTCATGATGGAAATATATCTTTCTAATGCTTTCCTTTTGACTTCTCCTGGAGATACTGTAATAAGCTCCTGGGCCTGCCTTACTGGAGGTCCTGCTTCCTTAGAAGGTAAGTGGTAGTAAGTGATAAAGCCTGTTGTATTATACCACTGAACTAGCATTGTCTAGGGGTACTGCATTACAATCTATGGCCAGGAATAATGAGCCATTTCTTGCATGATCTTTGTTCCCAACCTGAAGAATCATAGAATCACAGAATGGCTTGAATTGGATCCTTAAAGGCCATCTGGTCGAACTCCCCTGCAGTGAACAGAGACACCTACAGCTTCGTCAGGTGCTCAGTGCACTGTCCTTGGTTGTCTCCAGGGACAGAGCATCAACCACCTCTCTGGGCAACCTGTTCCACTGCCTTACCACCCTTATTGAAAAAAGCTTTTCATTTTTATCCAGTCTAAATCCCCCCTCTTTATTTTGAAAGTATTTCTGCTTGTCCTATCACCACAGACCCTGCTAATGCCCTGTCCCATGCATTCTTACAGCCCCCTGTAGACACTGAAAGGCTGCTCTCAGGTCTCCCTGGAGCCTTTTCTTCTCAGGGCTGAACAGCCCCAGCTCTCTCAGCCTCTCTAAGCAGGGGAAGTGTTCCATCCCTTGGATCAAGAAAGTACCCCCAAACTGAATCGAAGAAGAAAGGTAGAGGCTGTCACATAAACAGATGTGTTTGGGTGTTGGTATTTGCTGCTGTGAAGAACTGGTGTCGCTAATCACCTTGGTTGAGTCTTCTAATGCTAGCTAGCTGTATGGGAATGCTAGTAAGTTTGCCCTGGTGCTGCTTGAAGCTTGTTGCAGCGTTGCAGTAAGGCTTTTGCCTGTTACTGTAAAGTGAGACAAGCAGCAGGAGAAGTCTTACGTGACTGGCTCTGAGGGAGCAGCCCAGAGAAGTGTTTTGTCTGAATGGAGGCGGTGGAAAAATAGCACTGCAGAATTACAAAGAAGAGCTGAAATAAGCTGAAATAGCTAATTTGTGATAATCTCTATGGCCAGATGGCATTTGCATGGATGCTGTAAAAGAACTGAATTGTTAGCTGAGCTATGGGAAGAATAAGTAAGTTATTAAGACACCGAATCCTGGACAATGTTTTACTCCTTTAAAAAAGGATCTGAAGACGCTTTTTGGAATTAATTGACTTGTGAACTTCAGGAATGAGAACTAATTAAAGACTAGAGCTCACAGGCAAGCTGTCACAGCTGCTGATAGGCAGGGCTGCCAGCAATGCCTGTAGTATGTCTGCTTGGTACTTTGTGTTATGAGGGACATCTCTAAAATTGTTTATTATCCTGCGAGTCTTCAGGCTGAAATTATCAGGGCTGATTGTCTACCCTAGGTTAACCTCTTTTTTTTTTTTCTCCTTTCTCCCTTAGGAGACAAGCAAATGAACAAAAAAAGCTCAATTGTTTCCAACTTTTCCTCTTTGGAAATGGGGAAGCAGGAAGAAGCAGGGTTTTTTTTTTGTTTTTTTTTTTTTGTTTTTTTTTCTTGGCCAGTTCTCCCTCCTTGGTCTCCAACAAATAATAACATTGCAGCTGCTAAGCTGAGAAGTTGTAGCACCTCCGTGCTTTTGAGCAAGGGCTGGAAATTTGGCTGGAGTTAACTCTGCATTAAGAACGTGGCTTTTGCTGTTCCTATGAAAAATGCCCAAATTTGGCCACATTATACAACTTGGAAAAGCATTCATTTCTAAAATCTCTGCAGGGAATTAGTCTCGTGTCCCTAGAGAAAGCACTCTGTTGTTGCTTCCAAGGTGTCAAAGGATTATGGCTGGAATTAGGAGTGGGGAGGTG